GAGCATCATCTGCAGTAATGGAGGTATTAGTGGACAACATTGCAGTCTTATTCTCCTTCTCTTTTTTTCCAAGATAACCATGGAGTTTGAAGCATTTTTTCTTGGCATGTCCTACACGGTTGCAGTGGCTATACCATGGCCTAGTTGAGCTCGAATCATTTCCAGCACGGGGTGTAATACCCCAAATTTTGACAAGTGACCAAAATGTAATTATTAAAAGTTTGGTGACTAAAGTATAAACTTTGAAATGTTTAAGGACCAAAATGTAAATTTAAAAAGTTTTGTAATCTGACCCCGTAAATGAATAGTTTACCCCCAAGAATGATGTTTTTGTGGAAATCATATTTTTTGTGCGGATTTTATATTAAAAGCTATAAAGCGATAAAGTTAAGGAAAAAATCAGATAATCGGATCGAATCGAATTTTCAGGAAATTTTGAAGGATGATGAAGCAAGGTTAGAAATGTCATTTCCTTGAATTAAATTTGTTGGATTTAATATGAGCCATTGGATTTAAGATAGTTTACTTAAATAATTTTTAATGTTATCGAAACCAAATTCAAACATAATTATTTTTAAGTATCATAATCACCTCGTATAAATGCCAACTAGTATAATCATCATTTCAAAAAAATGTCATACTGATTCTGGAGCAGATCTGATCTTCAAAAGTTGATGCTGAGCCTAGCTCCTTACTCTGATCGCTTACTTTTACCTACGCGTAAAAATCATCACATGCTAAGTATACACTTAGTGAGGCAATAAGTTCTAACAATAATAAATAAATAGAATAAAATTAGTAATAAAATATATTTATCAAAATGACACATAAATATAAAATATAAAATATCATATAAAAGATGAGCTGAAATTAATTTTACTTATCAAAGTTAATATCATATAAAATAACTTGTAAATAAGCAATTCATATATATAAGGCTTTCAATGCCAAATCAAAGTTCTCAATAAAAACTTTGTTCCAAATCAAGTAGATCAAACCTGTACTTTTTCATCTCCCTTCAATTCTTGTACTTTTCATTCCATTTCAAACCTTTGCCTTTCACTTTTATTCATTTTATAGCCTAATGTAAATCAATGAGAATGTAAGGTATGTGGGTCAAACGAGCATACACTATAATGCACAAGTATTCTAGAACACAGTATCAATGAGCTACTTATAAGGAATACATCACACTATCATCACATATGTGCAGGAACCACCGTAACTTAGACGTCAAACTTGTGCCATAAAAATGTATTCCCAGTACATTAGCACCACCGTCACTCAAACGTCAAACTCGTGCTAACTACCAACGTACCACCGTCACACAGACGTCAAACTCGTACTCGATATCATATAATAGCACCATTATCACAAAGACATCAAACTCGTGCTCACTATAATGCAGCTGCTAATGGCCCCACCATCACATTTGTGACGTCAAACTAGTGCCAAGTCTCATATAATGCTCTAACTCTATGGCATGCCAATTATACATATGACTCTCAATGCATTTACAACATTTCCAAATTTTACACATCATTCACTTATAAAAGTCCTTTACCAATTCAAAAAAAACTTACATCATTTAATAATATAAAATACAGTTGGCAGTTCATACCCAAAATTATTCAAAGAAAATCATTTGGGAAAATAATGTAAAATACATAATAAAACGATTTGAAAACAATATCTTTCCAAATCATCTGAGGTTGACTCATCGCAAGTCTTCCTCATTCCGTATTTTGAAAGCATAAGTAAAATGCACTCACCTGATAATGCCTCACTAGATATCCATTTTACCATTATTCCTTTACTCTTGAACTTTTTCCTTTGATTTTGAATCACTTTGAGCTTGCATTTTATCACTATCTACACAAGCATTTTTTATCCATCACATACCAATTTCAAAATGTATATTAGTATTCTACCAACATATACACAACTTAGTAATGGAATTCGTAAAATTCTATCGATACTTATTCGATTCTAAAATTTTCATATTCTGCTAACTTGCACTACCCTTAAAGAATCATTATTATGTATTGATATACATAGTGGAATTTAATTCCATTTCTTCCCTTGGAAATAGACTCAAATAAAATTCTAACCATATAAAGAACTCATTCTAATTCAACTTGTACAATTTATAGTGAATTTTCTAATTCAATTTCCAGAATTTGTTTTGAGCAGAATATGTTGCCATGTTTTCTGACCTATCATCGATCAAAAATTTGTATCTTTCATTATACAATTCAAAATCGATCCTAGTTTATTTTAAACAAAACTATATTGACAAACGAACACGATGATATAAAGAAATCACCTCCTAATCATTTTATAGAAATTTTTGTGAATTTTCAAACTCACTGACATATTCGAAATTCTAAACAGATTTCCTTATTTTGCATCCTTAATTTTTCCATCAATTCTTACAACTTGCATCTTGATCCTTCATTATTTTTACTTATTCAATCAATCCCAAATATTCCAGAATTGTAAAAATATATTCAATTTAATGCCTTCATATTTGCATAATTACCATTCAATCCCTTAATTTCCTAGTCTATTCGAATTCAACCATCACACTTTACCAAAGTTGCAATTTGATCCTATATCAACTTAAAATTCAACATCCAAATATTAAATTTCAACATTCTAATCACATATTCACACATTACCCTTCAACTTTATGCTAATCTATATTTTAAAATAAAACTTATTCCTTTTTACATTTTGGTCCCTAAACATCTATAAGCTTCCAAATTGGTCTAAATAACTTTCTAAAGCTTGCTAAATCATACATTCATCATGTCTAACCTCAAAATAATTTTTCCAAAATTTTTCCCAATTATTTCCCCTATGGTCGAATATGAAGTGTCACCTAAGAAAACTTTCCAACTTCATTTAAGCATGAATTCAACTTCTAAACATCATTTTCATTCATCTATAATCAAGTGCTTATCAATTTCAATTCAAACAAAAATTCTCCATAAAACCCTAAGTTGGTCGAATTTGGTACTTAAGTTTCCAAGTAGTTTCAATCATCATACAAGCATGGAAATGATTCTCCAACGTCAACTACACCATAATCAAGCCTTAGTTCATCAAAACCTAAACTCCCCTTCATCCATCAAATTTATAAAATTCATCATCCAAGCATGATTTCCATGAAATAATTATACCAAATGATAGAGAATTTCAAGTAGAACAATTTTTTATTTCATGACTTTGTCCAAATTCCTAATAAATTGGCTTGAAAAATCAAAAACAAAATATTACCCTGTAGGAACCTCACGTCCAAGGCTTGAGAAATCTTGATTTCTCTTCATCTTTCTTTATTAAATAATGAATTAAAAATTCATTAAATGCTAAATTACCAATTTACCCTTAAAATTAAAATATCTTTACTAATTTATCCTTGAATATCATGATAATTACTAAATTACCATGTTTTCATCATTCCTTACATCATCACTGCATAACAAATTCTCATCTTCCAATTTTGCCCTTGCGATTATTGAAAATTTACAATCTAGCCATTTTTCATCCAATAATCCAAATTGAATATGGAAACTATCTTAAATCCAATTCTTCATATTAAATCCTTAAAATTTAATTCATGGAAATGAAATTTCTAACCTTGCTTCATCATCCTTCAAAATTTTCGGAAAATTTGATTTGATCCGATTATCCGAATTTTTCCCAAACTTTATCGCTTTATAGCTTTAAATACAAAATCCATACGAAAAATATGATTCCCACATAAACGTCATTCTGGAGGGTAAAATATTCATTTATGAGTCTGGATTACATAACTTCTTAAAATTACACTTTGGTCCCTAAAATTTTCCAAAGTTTATACTTTGGCCACTAAACTTTCAAAAAATTATATTTTGGTCACTAGTCAAAATTTGGGGTATTACATGGGGCCTTTTTTGGTTTTGGGCCTCTGGAGATAAGGGTTGAGTTTTCAGTGGGACGGTAATCAGCAGTTATCATAGTTTTAGGTTCCTTTGAATCACCCATCATGACAAATCGACGCTTCTATTCTCTTCTAACTTCTGCAAATGCTTCACCAATGGTTGGCAAGGGGTTCTACCTATAATTCGACCACATACCTCATCTAGCTCTTGGTTTAGTCCTGCTATAAACTTATAGAGACATTCATTGTTGAGGTGAGTCATAAAATTGGTGTGTTCCAGGCCTTCTCCTTAATCTGCCTTATAGTACTTGTCCAGTTCCTACCACAAAATTTTCATATTACTGTAGTAGTGAGTTACTTCAAGTGTTCCTCGTCGGATATCCTTCAACATCAGTTTGATCGCAAACACTTGGGAGGCATTTCCAAGATTCAAGTAGTTTTCTTTGATTGCATTCCATATATCTTTTGCAGTTTTAAAGAAGAGGTAGGTGTGACTAATATGGTATTCCATTGAATTAATTAAACAAATCATTACAATTGAGTTGTTGAGTTCCCAAGTGCCATAACTTGGGTCTGTTGTGGTTGGTCGTAGGATGTTTCCATTGATATATCCTAGTTTGCCACGACCACGAATCACCATAATGACCGATTGGGACCACTGCAGGAAATTTTTCTCATCTAGTTGATGGTAGTGATTATAAGAGAGGAATTAAGGTCCCCTTAAGGGGTTCCTTGATTGATATTTGGAATCATTTGTGAGGTTTCAGTCTCATATAAAGTTTCAACTGTGTCACCCATGGGAATGAATAAAACATGAGGCAAGAAACATTAAAGAGGATGAGCGTTTGGGACGAGAAATTAAAGATGACAGAATCAAAAATTCTTAAAGCTTTGATGCCATGAACAAACTTAAAAAGAAGGTTGTTTTATTTACTAAATGGTTTACAGCTTTATAGAGTAGTCTAAGTGTAAATAAGGAAACAATCCCTAAAAATCAGCAACTCCTAAGAATTAGATACTAAGATTAGATCATACTGTACAAGGTAACTCCTAGGAATAAGGTAAGTAATTTATCCTTAATTTCAGGAATTCCAATAGGAAGCAATGCTCCAAAAGGATAGAGAAGAACTTCAGGTAGGTCCTTTGAAATGCACCCTCTTCCCCTCCCTTATGAGAAACAGTTACCGCCAGATTTTACTCATTTATGCATACACCAACCTATTCAGAAGTTTAACCCCATGTTATTTATTTTTTATTTATTTATTATGCATAAAAGCAGCCTGAGAGTAGTCTGGTTTTTAATCTGTTTACTGTTCCCTTAGGAACCTTTACGGGTAGCATTTTGTAAGAATGTGAAACCTGGCCAACCTGTGATTGACATTCTTGAGATGAATAAGTTGCGGAGGCAATACTATTTTTGTCTTATGTTTGGGAACAACGGCTGATACATGCATATGGTTCGATTAACAATAGTATCCAGGAAGTTACGAGCAGTTCCATCACTATGCTTGGATTGAAGCCCGTAAGTTCTGTGGAGAAGCTTCATGAGATTAATTTCAATCCCAAGCAAGTAAAGCCTTAAGTAGTTCCGAGTCTTCCCTAGTTGGGACCTGGCCTAACAGGGATTTTAATAAAATGGAGGAGGCTCGAGCCTTCTCTTTCTTCTATTACAAATACCAGAGAAAAATATGATTTTCTTGAATCTGGAACAGTTTTGCAAAGGGTCCAGTCAGAAGGGGAATTGCCAAGTACAGAAATTTTATTGGATACCCTTGAGGCAACATGGAGTATTGAAAGTCACCCAGCTAGCATAATCTCTAAGGAGAATGGTTACTGTGTTCCTGGTTCAGTTGCGGCGGATGTGTCAGCTGCAAGAAACTTGGATCTGGAAATTCTTGTTAGTGATCATGTTGAAATGGATCTAACTCGTTCTCCTCAGTCTGCTTTGCCTACAAGAAACTTGAAAACTTGAAGAAGACAATTAGCTGGGCAAGCATACCATTTCCAAGTTTTGACAGCTCATATGTTAGCATATATAAGGAGGAGGTTGAGGTTGCTGACGTATTAATCTGTTATCATTTGTGTTTTGGGTTAGTACGTGAGCTGGCTTAGCTTGCTTGCTGAGAAGGGTTTAGTCTTGCCTTATAAATTGTATGAGCTGTTTTAATAAAAATTACACTTCACAATATTTTCTACATGGTATCAGTTTCAGAGGGTCCTGGGTTTTGGTTTTATTTGCTAGTCGTCTAATGCCGGTGTCTTTTCTCCTCTCTCTGGTGGTGCTCGCGGCGGGTCAAGGTTGGAGTGGCTCATCGGTGACACGACGTTCATCAATAAAAAGGAAGTATTACCTTAGACGAGTTTAACTACTTGTGGAAGCAACAAGTTATTCTCACCGTGAGGAGTCTGTTGGATCATAAACTTGATCCATTATGGGAGCCTAAACCCAAACCCAAACTAAATTGATGTCATTACTTACATTTAATTAAAGATGTCATTGCTTACATCATTTAATTAATGATGTCATTGCTTACATCAATTTAGTTAGGTGAGAGTTAGATATTTGTTGAATTTGTAATGGTTTAAATTAGTTTATTTGTGTGGTGTAGGATTGTTCTTGAGTAGTATAAATACCCCTTCCCATTTTAGTTTTAAGCATCAAGAAAAATTAAGAGCTTCTAAGTGAGTGAAGAAGCAAAGTCTTATAAGAGTGAGTTGTAGTTCTTGTTTTTGAGTGATAGTACTCTTGTAATATTTGTTTGAGTTTCAATAAAAGTTTTTTGTGTGAGTGTTTTATTTCCAACAAAGTGGCATCAGAGCGAGTTGGAAAGATCGAAGGTCTCGACGAGAGGAATACGACGCCGCCAGAATTTTCTCAATCTGAGTTCTGACGCACCCCCACGCACCGCCGGAAGACTGCTGCCAGAAAATCGAGTTGACTCACCGAGTTGAGCCGAGTCAGCCGAGTTGGAGCCCTTGACCGAGTTGTCCAAGTCCCTCCAAAGTTTTTTTTTCATCGTTTCGGATTCATCCGTGCAATCGAATTTTACAAAATCTCATTATATTGAGAGATATGGCAAATGGAGAGAGAAAGCGGTAGAAAGATCAAAGCCATGAGATCTGATCGAGGTGGAGAATTTACTTCCAGGGAGTTTCAAGAGTTCTGTGAAGCAAATGGAATTCGTCGACCAATGACATTTCCTAGATCCCCCCAGCAAAATGGTGTGGCAGAAAGAAAGAATAGAACAATCCTCGACATGGCACGAAGCATGCTCAAAAGCAAGAAACTACCCAAAGAATTTTGGGCGGAAGCAGTATCGTGTGCAGTCTACTTGTCAAATCGATCTCCAACAAGAAGTGTATGGGGAAAGACACCGCAAGAGGCATGGAGTGGAAGAAAGCCTGGCATTTCCCACTTGAGAACCTTTGGAAGTATAGCCCATGTTCACGTACTAGACGAGAGAAGAACGAAGCTTGATGATAAAAGCGAGAGTTTTATCTTCATCGGTTATGATGCTAATTCGAAGGGCTACAAGTTGTACAATCCAGACAATAAGAAGTTTGTGATTAGTCGAGATGTGGTCTTCAACGAAGAAGGAGAATGGGATTTTAACTCTCATACAGATGACTTCAATTTCTTTCCTCAGTTTGAAAAAGATGAGCAGACAATGAGGGAGCAACTAGATGAATCTCAACAAGAGCTTGCAACTCCACCCACTTCACCAACATCAACCACTCAAGGAGACTCATCACCTTCATCATCAAGTGGGAGTCAAAGTGAAAGAGTTGTACAACGCACAAGAAGCCTTAGAGATCTCTATGAGGTAACTGAACGACAAGATAATCTTACATTATTTTGTTTGTTTGCCGATTGTGAACCAGTGAGCTTTCAAGAAGCGGTACAAGAAAAGAAATGGAGAGATGCGATGGACGAAGAAATCAAGGCCATCGAGAGAATGACACATGGGAACTTACCTCATTCCCAAGGGACATAAGGCGATAGGTGTCAAATGGGTGTACAAAACAAAGCAAAATGCCAAAGGAGAGATTGAAAGGCACAAGGCGAGGCTAGTTGCTAAAGGCTATAGTCAAAAGGCTGGAATTGACTATGATGAGGTATTTGCTCATGTTGCTCGATTGGAGACTATCAGACTAATCATTTCTTTGGCAGCTCAAAACAAGGAAGATACAACAGATGGATGTAAAGTCCGCCTTCCTAAATGGAGTTCTTGAAGAGGAACTTTACATTCAGCAACCATCAGGCTATGAAGTCAAAGGGCATGAAGACAAGGTGTTGAAGTTGAAGAAGGCTCTTTACGGGCTAAAACAAGCACCAAGGGCATGGAATATCCGAATCGACAAGTACTTCCAAGAGAATGGTTTCAACAAATGTCCCTACGAGCATGCTCTATATATCAAGATCAAAGATGAAGATATTTTGATCGTGTGCCTCTACGTGGACGATTTGATCTTCACTGGAAGCAACCCAAGCATGTTTAATGAATTCAAGGATGTGATGATGAAAGAATTCGAGATGACAGACATGGGGCTCATGGCGTACTACCTTGGCATTGAAGTTAAGCAACAAAATGATGGAATTTTCATTTCACAAGAAAGCTATGCAAAGGAGATACTGAAGAAGTTCAGATGGAGAACTGTAAGCCAATAAGCACCGACGAATACGGGATCAAGATGACCAAACATGAAGAAGGCGAAAGTGTAGATCCAACATTCTTCAAAAGTTTGGTAGGAAGTCTACGCTATCTAACTTGCACGAGACCCGATATTCTTCACGCAGTTGGATTGGTTAGTCGCTACATGGAATCCTCAACAACCACCCATTTTAAAGCTGCAAAGAGAATTCTTCGCTATCTGAAAGGTACAATTGACTTTGGCTTGTTCTATTCAGTTTCTAATGATTACAAGCTTGTTGGATATAGCGACAGTGATTGGGGTGGAGACATAGATAATCGAAGGAGCACTACTGAATTCGTATTTTTCATGGGAGATATTGCATTCACATGGATGTCAAAGAAACAACCGATTGTCACATTGTCCACTTGTGAAGCGGAATATGTTGCTGCTACCTCATGTGTTTGTCATGCAATTTGGCTTAGAAATCTATTGAAGGAGATTGTTTTGATACAAGAAGAGCCTACCAAGGTTTGTGTCGACAACAAGTCAGCCATTGCCTTAGCGAAGAAGTATTCCATGATCGAAGCAAGCACATTGATATTCGCTACCACTATATAAGGGAGTGTGTTGCAAGAAAAGATGTGGAAGTTGAATATGTGAAGTCACAAGATCAAGTTGCTGATATTTTTACCAAGCCACTGACCAACGAAGACTTCTTAAGATTAAGGAACCTACTAGGGGTCACGAGATCAAGTTTAAGGGAGGGTGTGGATCAAAAACTTGATCCATTATGGGAGCCTAAACCCAAACCCAAACTAAATTGATGTCATTACTTACATCATTTAATTAAAGATGTCATTGCTTACATCATTTAATTAATGATGTCATTGCTTACATCAATTTAGTTAGGTGAGAGTTAGATATTTGTTGAATTTGTAATGGTTTAAATTAGTTTATTTGTGTGGTGTAGGATTGTTCTTGAGTAGTATAAATACCCCTTCCCATTTTAGTTTTAAGCATCAAGAAAAATTAAGAGCTTCTAAGTGAGTGAAGAAGCAAAGTCTTATAAGAGTGAGTTGTAGTTCTTGTTTTTGAGTGATAGTACTCTTGTAATATTTGTTTGAGTTTCAATAAAAGTTGTTTGTGTGAGTGTTTTATTTCCAACAGAGTCACCGACTGGAGAAGCTGCTCACTGGAGGTGTTCGGCCACCGGATGCGACAGTGACTCTTGATGACGGGTCGGTGGTTGATAACGATGAGCATGAGGTGTTCGTTGCTCATGATAGTGCTTTAGCTTCCTGGCTTTTGTCGACTGTTAGTTCCTCACTTCTCCCTCACCTCGTTGGAGCTGAGACCGCAATCGAGATTTGGTCCAAGATTACGAAATCTTTTGCGAGAAAATCTCCTACAACGATCATGAACCTCCATTATAAGTTGAAGCTGGTGCGAAAGGGTGATTCCGATTTGCGATCTTATATTTCGCAGGTGAAAGAGATCTGTGATGCACTTGCTACCTGCGGTGCTCCGGTTTCAGAAATATGAGCATGTGGTCACGATTCTCAACAGCCTTCCGATGGAGTATCGTTCATTTATCGCTGTTATCACGACAAGTCGAGAGCCATTCTCTCTTGAGGGCGTTGTTTCGGTCCTTATCGATGCCAAAATGCAGCAGAAAAACTTTGAGAATATTGATAGTTTGAACATCAGTTCTAATATGGCCAAACTCTCAATGGCTGATTCTTTTTCTGGGAATAATTCTGTTACAACTGTTCAGCCAACTGTTATTCAGTCCACTTCTTAGGTTATTTCAGCTTCCCAAGGAGATAGATGACGACCTTCTTATGGTGTTCAAGGTGGACGAGGGCGTGGTCGGAACAGGTTCCAGTGCCAACTCTGTGGAAAACTTGGCCATCTTGTCGACCGCTGTTGGTATAGGTTTGATCAGTCATTTCTGGGAGTTGGGGCTACACCAGCTTCGGGTGGTTT